TTGGTAACATGCACGTTGAACAGCTTTGTTTTTAAATCTTGATTATGATATTTCATATTTACTTTGTTTAAGCACTGTTGGAAGACATAAACCTACAAGAGTTTAGTTCATTCTGTAACTGCAAGGCTTCATGTCCTTTAGTGATTTTATCAAGAATGATTAATGCAGATATGCAATGACAGATGTTTGTAGGTTTATTGGACTTATCTGTGATATCAGGTTATTCAGTTTTTCTTTTTTTCCAAAGATGGGCATGTATTTTAGTTGCTAGTGTGTGTATTGTTCGGGGCTAGTTATTTGCCTAATAAATATACCTATTATTCTATATAGTAATATGTGAAGGAAGGAAAGTAAGTTTTGATTAATTTGTAATGGATAAATGAATTAAATACACTGGTTTGTGACTTTGTGTAAGTAGTAGTCCTTCTTACTGTTTGTGCTTTTTGTCATTTTGGATACATGATCCCTCCTTATATTCAATCTTTTTTCATTGGTACTCTTTCAAGTAGCATGTGCTTTTCAAGATTCTTGGTTTCCTTAGCTTGTAGCATGAAAGATAGAATTATTATTTTCGATGCAGAAATGTAATAAATCACCATGTTTCCTGCAATCAGATTGAACACTTGTGCGTATTCTGCGTTTGAAATAATGTTTCCTGCCATCAGAATGGAGATACCAATGGAGCTTTTGTGAATACCTCCGTTATTGAAGTTTCTTTTTGAATGAATAAAGCAAGGAGCAAGTTTAACTAAATTCCATTTTCTTTTTTCCTTTTTTTTTTCTTTTTCTAAAATGTATGTGACCATGAATTTATATTAAGAATTCCTTGTATCTTGCCAAATAAAATGTGTTTTTGGGTTGACCTCTAAGAAATTATCTTCAAAATACTTGCTTACCTCTCAATGTTTATGCTTATAGAAGGCCTCTTGTTTTTTGGTTACAATGGTTTTGCTTGCTCTATGTTTATATTGTGTTGGAACTCTGTCATACATACGAATTCTGATCATATTATTTTGATTAGGTTCAACTGAAGGTTATATGTTTATTTCTTTTCTTAAGTAATTAAAAAAGTTAGGGACTTAGATGGTGGAGGTATAACTTACTAACGGTTTCACTCGTAATGGAGCTATTTTTTGGTTTAGGTCTAAACTAGGTGCAAAGGAGGATGAAGATGATATTAATTTGGTATGCAATAACATATGTTAGTAGCTTTATCTGAATTATCTATGATATGATATACTACCTCTCTACCTTAACATAATATATAAGTCAACTAATTTGAGTAAATTAAAGAAGTTTGTTAAGTTAGTTATTTATGATAAATAGTTGTTATTTTTTCTAAAATATTTTTGCTAATAATATGTATTAGTTAGAATTACTGTTTGATAAAGCTTTTAACATATTTGGCCAAAAAAAAAAAATAAAGCTTTTAACATATACAAATATTATAAAGATTATTTTGAAAAAAATAGATGAACATGAAAGACAAAATATATTGAAATTTTATATTTACGATCAAATTGAATATCAAATTAATTTTTATATTAAAGATCACAGGTAATATGTTTTAGTTGGTCTGTGGATTGTTTGGGATATTATCTAACCAATATACCTATTATTCTGTGTAATAGGTGGGGGAATAATGCAAGCGAAGAGAACATAAGTTTAAGTTTTTTCGGTAAAAAAAAAAGTTTCTGCCTTTTTTGTTCATTTCTTCAGGATAAATAAATTAAATGCATTAGTTTGTGGCTTCATTTAGCTAGCGGTTAAACATGAGTTTAGTTTCACCTTTTGATGGCTTTATTGCAGTGACCAAGGGACTAGCAGAACCCTCAGTAAACACAATGCCAGTATGGTCAAGCAAATCTCGGATATGTCTACATTGAGATGCTAAACTTGTGTGATCATCTGAGTTTCGGACTTCAATAACTATTAAAAGAAAAAACTTTATTCGGCTCTAACTATAAGAATAATTTTATAGTATAATTTACACTATAAAATGGAATTCACGACCAGAGGAGCAATTAATTTCACCAACATCCTTTGGCATAAATTTGTCATAAAGCAATTACTTTAGTTGAGAAATACTACTTCCGGTATTTAATATAAGACCTTGTTTGACTTTTATTTTAATCCTAAATATAAGATCCCAATCTACTTTGACTCTCATATTTATGTATTTTTTTAAGATAGTCCTTCTAATAGTGATAGTCCTAACTAATACTCTTGATTAGTAAGGATATTTTAGGAAAGACAATACCTATTTATTACAAATAATTAATTTAACTTTTTTTTTAATCTCTTAAAATTAGTCAACTAGTTCTTATAATTAGAAACGGAGGTAATATATACTTATGAGAATCCTAGGAGTAGATTATCATCCATATAGAGTGAAATTTAGGTTTGAGCAAAGGAAAAACCCAGGGAGTGTCAAACTCAGAACTTCATATTTAAGAAAATTCAGGAAAAAAAAAAAGGTTATTGGCATTATGAGGCTGAAAGACTCCTGCTAATGCAATTAATAATTTAATGACAGAAAAATTGATCAAAATATTATATTGAAATTATTTTTATAAGGATGGCATTTTTTATGTATTTAATAATATACTGAATATAGAGTCTGTAATTATTATAATTTTTTAACGATCTGTTTATTATTGATAGTGGCGAAAAAAAAAATTCATTATTGATTAAAAGAAATTTTCAATGAAAAAGAAATAAAAGCATACATGACACACCATTATAAACCTCAACCCCAGCGGAGAGTCGGAACAATGAACCGGATTCCTAATCAATCTGGTCGAAAGTATCAAACATATTACTCTCTCTTGTTTGGATTTTATATTACCTTTACTTTTTACTTAGTTCGAAATAATGTTATGTTGTAGTAATTTCATTTTGCTGGTAGTTTGTATTTGAATTTTTTTTAACCAAATATACACACACATATGAATGTTTGATTTACTTGGGAATTAATTATAAATCTTTTTATACTTTTTTAATTAAAACTGTTTCGTTTACGAATTAAGCGCCTGGTCGATTGCTTTCCCTCCGAAACTCGGACTGCCATTCTTCGCAGCCGAGCGCCATGAAGCAAACGGTAATAGATCTCGGCAATCCAGTTCTTCTTCAAGAAATCATCATAAACATACTCATACGGCTTCCGATAAAATCCCTAATACGATTTCAATGTGGGTGCAAACATTGGAAAAATCTCTTCAAAACCCCGTCTTTCATAGCTGAGCACCTCCATCACTCCGCTCATCAAAACTCTTCTCTTCTTTTCGAAGATAAGGACGAATGTGGTCGTTTGCGCTTACGTTTGTTTGATCCTGATATGCAAGTCCTTGAATTTAAGAACGAACGTTTTATCGGTTCTGTGCGGCGTCGTTGGATTGTCGATTCCTGCAACGGCCTGCTCTGTGTTATTGGTAAAAATCATTCCATTTATTTGTGGAATCCAGCTATTAGAGATGTTAGAAGAGTGCCCAAAGCTATTAACTGGTTTGAGAATGATGATTTCTATTTAGGATTTGGATTCAGTCCAATTGTTAATGATTACAAGATAGTGAAACTTTATGTTTCTGGGGCTGATGATGATCTGGTTAATCTAGTAGAGGTGTATTTGTTAAGCACAGGATCATGGTACGAAGTTGAATTTGATGATTTAGATGGTGTAGCTATTAGTTCTAACGGTTTCAATATTAATGGAAATGGAGCTATCTTTTGGTCTGGCTTAAAGCTAGGTGTGGAAGAGGATGGTGAAGATGATATTGATTTGATAGTTTCATTTGACATAGAAAGGGAGTATTTACATTGATTCCAATACCTACTTCAGCCTCTACATATTCAGAACATCTCAATGGTCTTGCTATATATGAGAACAAACTTGCTATGCTTTCTCACACTCTGAGTGGAGACCTTGAATCCTCTTTGGTTGAATTGTGGGTGATGGAGGAGGATACAGGTGCATCTAGGGAGAGATGGAATTGGACAATTAGATATACGAGCAAGCCCTATTTAGGCCTATGGTTACTCCCAGTGACTATTTGGAAGAATGAAATTATCTGTGATATTACTGTATTGCCCGAAGACATTACTAAAACTAAAGCCGAAGTGGAGAATGCTGAGCAGAAAATTGTTATGTCCAATCTCACTACTAATGAATTCAAGATGTATGCTATTCGCAGAGCTGGTGGTCTTGGTTATGGTTTTTTCAATTATGCTGAAAGCCTTGTTGCAGTTAACAACATCCAAATTGAGTAGTCTTGATAGCATGTTTACTTTTTTTAAGCACTTATGGTGGAATTGGACACGAGACTCTACTTCATTCTGTGACTATAATAGTTGATGACCTTTTGAGACTTTATCTATAATGATGAATTATGGATGCAGATGTGCGATAACAGGTGTTTGTAGCCCTACTTGACTTGTATATTATATCAGGTTATTTAGTTTTCTTCCAAATATGGAAGAAAAGTAAGTGGAGTACATTTGACTTCCCTGCATCTTCATTCATTTCTAATTAAATACATTCATTTGTGACTTTGTGGAATTATGTCCTCATATTTCCAATATTAGTGTTTTTTTTTTTGGGGGGGGGGGGGGACTTGTGAATACGTCATCTTTCATCATAGGACGCCATAACTACCTACTCTGCTCACCAAGATTGCTTGTCCGTGCTTTTGCAACAAGTATTCAACTATTCATTGGTTGGCTTCCTTTGAAGCTCGATTATTGGTTTAATCAGTTATGCGTTCTTCAAGTATTCCTTTTTTTTTGGGATGAAGATCCTTTCACATGTGAGGATACCTATTTCTGCTTTTATTTGTATTTCTCCTTTTATTTTCAAGCAAAATATAACATCTCAACTAGTAAAATTGCTAGTAATAACCATTAAGAACAAGAACTAAAACTGTCTCATAAGTAAGAATTGCTTTCTTTTTTCTCAGAATAAGAATTGCTTTTTTCCCCCTCAGAATCTTTGGGCACCGACCAGATACCAAGAGAAAGATGACAAGCAAGCTAGTATGTTGTAGTATTTGCAGCATCCAAAGATTTTCTTTTTAATACTTATGAGCGAGAATTTTTAACTAGGAATTTGTTTTCTGTATCCAATTCTCTACCCATAAGATGCCGCTGCCTTGGAGTTTTGAGATCCTTAAAGGATTTACGTGGTACAGACCTCTTAAATGTCAGTATCCTTCTATCATGATATTCAGATTTCATCTCATCTAATTATTCTACAAGCATCCTTATCCTATTGATTTTCTTTTCCCATGGCATATTATTTCACAAATGTCAGTACAGGGACATGATATTCCGGGACATGATATTCCAGGACATGAAGGCTTCCAACTATAATATTTCAGTTTTCAGGTTAGTTTATGAATTGTTGAGTACTCAGACTTCCCACATCTATTTAATTTTACCTTATTCTATGCCTGCTATTACACATTTGGGTCATGCTCAATTTGATCCTTTTGAGTTTTTAATATTTCTAATTGCACTTGTGTTAAGATGATCACACCTTAATTTTATATTGTCCTTGTTTTCTAAAGGAATAAGGAAGTGGAACTTGATATGCACCAATTCATTAAGGAATTGCATGAAATGAATAAGGAATCAGCAACAAAGTTGCAGGTCCCTGTTGTGGAGCAAGATGGACTCCCATGCAATCTGATTATTTTTCCTCAATTTTTAGTAAAGCCTTCACATATCCTTCTTGGGCACATTTTGGTATTAGCTTCACTATGGACTTAAGTCTTCAGACAGGTAATCAACAATATGATGGGAATTATTTGCAGGGATGTGGAATGACTTGAATGTTGAGGTGGAATAACTATTAAAATCCTGATATGTAGAGAGGCGCATTCTCTCTGGTAAAAAAGAAAGAGGGGCACATTGTGGGAAGCAATGAAATAAAGTTCCAAAACTTTTACTCCAAGTGATTAGCTTTCTTAGACATAATTAGAAATTTAGAACTACTTACCTCTCAATTTAGGTTATTATTGCTTTAATATTTTTTTGGTAGGTTTCAAAAGTAAGGAGGGAATTGGGTAGCTAGCTTTCTCAAACTTTAATATTAAATGGTTAGATTTTTTTTTGGGCAGGTTTCAATTGAAATATCACGCCTTCTGGCTTCTAGGCAATGATGTGGCTAAATCTTCACATTTTCTTTTATTAAATTTTTTTCCTTTTTCAGGAATATGTTATTTAATCAAGGAAAAATGATAATAAAAGAAGCTGAAAATTTATAAATGTCAAATAAAGAATGTCCATAAAAATTTGTTATTTTTTATAAATTTAGAGTTGTCAATATCAAATAAAATATTGTTACCAAACTTGATTTGATATTTAGTAATTTTTAACTTCTTTTCTTCGTTCTCCCTTTAATCAATACAGAATAAGTAGTATGCATTTTTTTTTTAATATTTAGTGATTTAAAGTTTTTTCCGGACCGAAGGTTTGATTTAGTTTAATAAATTGGCCTAAAAAAAAACTTAGATAACGTAAAAAGTATGGAAAGCAAGAGTTAGAGGAAAAAAATATGAGGGAATATATATTTTTGTTTGTTTGAGTAAAAAATATAATTAGAAGAAAAGCTGAGGGGCAAAATATGCCCAGAACTCTCATTTTCTATTCAAAAGTGGGGCGCTTTTGAAAAGGAAATGTATTATCCAAACTTGTTGCAAAATGAGAAAAGAAAAAGAGAAAATTACAAATAAAAACCCTTTAATATGTAAAATTAGGAGTGTTCAATTTGTCCTCCCGTCCTGGTATCTTGGGTCGGGATGGGAACAGTGACTAGGATAGGATGTGACACAAGACGGGGTTGTCTATCCCGTCCTGTCCTAGGATTTTTTTTTAAAAAATTATTTATGAATAATTATTATTAAATTATTTAATTTACTTATTAATAATAATTATTATTTTTATAGTGAATTTTAGCTCGTAAGTTGTAGTATTATTTTAACAAAATCTCATTCCTTAATAAAATAATTCATAAAGACATTATATAGTGTTTTTTTTCCTGTATTTTTTATAGTATTATTTTTACATCTTTTTTATACTATATAATTGAGTTTTCTACATAATTTTTTAATGATGTTTTTATCTTTAGAAGCCCAATAAAAAATAAGCATTATAACATAAAAATTCATATAAAAAATTTTTTTTTTAAAAGAGGGAAGCGGGACGTCCCTGTCCCGTTTCAATCCCGATGGGACGTGACGGGACACTAGACAAAATCTCTGTCCCGTCCCTATTCATCGGGATGGGACTAGTCCCGATCGCGTTCCGTCCGGTCCCATGAACACCCTTATGTAAAATTGTGATTTGGGACTTTAAATTTGAAAAATAGCAAATAAGGATCAGATCTTACTTTTGCAAATATAAAATGTTGATGAAATGTCTGAAATGTCTCTCAGTCAAATTGTAATTTGGTCTACTGAAATTGTAATTCGTTAAAGTGAACTTGTCATTTCCTATAGTCAACTCTTTATTTGGTGTGCTCTCAACTAAGTTGTAATTTGATCTATTGTAGTTGCCATTCGCTAAAATAAACTTGTCATTTTTCATAGTCAATTTGTCATTTGGCTCAATGACATTTCAGAAATTTCACCACAATTTCATATTTACAAAAGTAAGATTGAGTTTTTATTTGCTATTTTTCAAATTAAAAACCCCAAATCGCAATTTTATATATTAGGGGTTTTTATTTGTAATTTTTTCAAAGAAAAATGTGGGCTGATATCTTTTTCATACAAGTTTTATTATCATTGTGAAAATAGTCAAATTTCCTTTTTACCCTATTTATTCAAACATAAAGAGATAAAACATTTTTCTAACAAGTAGTTGGTTAAAATAGTAAGCGGATTTATTTTTATTAAAAAAAAAGAATACAAATTCAAATCATGAAAAGCACACTTATTAAGAGAGTTTTAATTTTGACGTTCTTAGCTAAACAAATATTAGTTTTAAACCTAAAGTGACTTGATAAAAAAAAAAAGAGATAACAACATTTTTTTTTTGCCCTTTTCCCTTTTTTTTTAAAAGAAAAAGGGATAATTAATGTGCAAGTCTTCATAGTTTCAACTTTTTTCTAATCAAGTCCCTATAATTTTTTTTTCTTTTTATCAAATCCTTATTATTTTGCTTTTTTTTTTAATTAGGCCATTTTAGTTTTTATTTTTTATTCCATAAATAATAATATTTTATAAATAATGAATTATTATAATAATCTTATGTTAATATTATTTTAAATTTTTAGTTAAGCATATACATTATTTATTTTTCAATTCCAATTTTTATATCTATAAAATTCATATTATAATAATAAAATTTTTTAAAATTAGAATATAATTATAAATAATTTATAGTTAAGTATGATCGATTATTTCCATTAATTATTAATTACTAAATAATTATATTAATGATTTTTTCAACTATAAAATTATTAATTTGAAAATAAAATTAAGTTTAAAGAATAAAGTTAATAAATAATTTTTTAAAACTACGAAGAACTTAATTAAAAAATAAATAAAACTATAAGGACTTGATAAAATAAAATAAAAAGACCTAACTTAAAACATGTGAAAGTAAAAAGATCTAAAAAAAATTTTTTTATAAAAACCTGATTAAAAATTATATAAAACTATAAGGATCTCAAGATTAATTATCTCAAAAAAAAATCATAAACAATAAATAGAGGAAATTACGTATGTGAGATTTTGTTAAGTCCACCTTGATGAATTTTAGGATTTATTGAAAAGTAAATAAAACTGGGCTTTAAAATGAAATATGTTCCTTTTGTTTTGAAAAAAGCGGGTACAGTTCCCCATCACGCTGCGCGTTTCCCGATTGATTATGGAGTGTTTGGATGAAACCAAACTATGATTTAAAAAATAATTTTTAGAGAATAGATTTTGGGAAAAATAGATTTTGTGAAGAATAGATTTTGTAAAAAAATGATTCTGAGAAATGAGAGTATTTGGATAGTTGTTATCAGAAGCACTTTTTATATATATAAATTACTAAAAAAAAGCATAAGTTGATATGATAATTACATAAAATATAGATTTTATGATATATTTTAATTTGAAGAAATAAAATTATTAATAATATATTTTTTACCAACATAATTAATAATACATAAGATAATGTAATTAATAAATAATTAATATATGTATATATGTTTATAAGATATAAGGTTAAATGTGTTTATTAAAAAATAATTGAGAAATGTTAAAATCATATTATTGTTGAGATCTACTCTGATAGGTATAATTATATTTTCCAATTTGAACCAGAAGCAGAATGGATCACTTCTCCTGAAATCATGGTTTTGGATTCCAAAATCATGATTTTGGCCTAAACTATGATTTCAGATTATTGGCCCAAAATTGATACTGTTTGGATGACATCCCACTCAAATCATGGTTTTGCCTTCCAAACAATGGTTTTGGGAGCCATCCAAACAGGCCCTATGTATTAAAGTATTTAATGAAACGCATTTGAACTAATTTTTGAGAAAATCATGAAAAAAAATCATGGAAATTGAAAAATTATATACAAATACTTATTCAAAAATTGCTGTCAAAACCCATAATACGGTGAAAACCCATACTAATATTGTAACAGGTATTTATTTATAATTTTTTTATTTTAGCCTTTTTTGTGAGTTTCCGCTAATTTTTACTATTTAGCGATTTATTGATTTAAAAGGTCAAAAAATATTTCACCAAAGCGAAAATATAACCGCTCGACATTTCGTGGCTTGTTCTGCTATTATCTCCTCGAATCCCTAATGTTCCGGTTGGATAGGAAGAAAAATTAAGAAGGAAAATGAAAAAAAAATTAAGGAACAAATATTATCACCCCCATTTTGTTTAAAATAAAAAAAAGGAAAAAAGGTCAATATATGAATAATTAAAATATTTTTTATCTCAAAATATATTATATTTAAAATCAAATTAAAGATCATAATAAAAATTTATATGAACATTAATATTATCAAATAATTTAAAGTTAAATTAATTAACAAAAATATATTATCATATGAGTATATTTGAAACTTAAGTAGTTTAGTAAAATTTTTTATTTTTAATAGAAAATTAAAATGTGGATAATTTTTAAGTTAAATATAATAAAAATAAATAAGATATATATTATTTAAAATTATTATTAAATAATAAAAATTTATTATAAAAGCTGAAAGAGATGGAGAAATATATGTGTATATACATGTAGAGTCCGTATAAATTTTGAATGTGAAAAAATAGAGATTATATGTTGGTTTGAAATTTGACAGTAATGATGTAATTTTTTTAGATTATAAAGTAGTCGTAAATAAAATAAAAAAATTGCATTAAAAGCATCTAATATAAGGAAGACTATATCATAAATGTGAGTTTTCTTCTTAATTTTTTAATACGTGAAGAAAAAAGTTGGGAAAAAAAACATCCCATTTTTTCTCTTATTTTTTTTTCTTCCGTTTTTCTCTCCTTATCTAATTTTTTTTAAAAAAAAAACTCATTTTTTTCATCGTTTTCTTTTTTAGTTCTCTCCCCTCCCTTGTTTTCTCTCCAAGGAAACAAAGGGTAGTTGTTCCGAAAATCTTCGTTGATTCTTTGACAAAAGGAAACCTTCGTCGATTGCCGAGGCTTTAGGGAGACCTGTTCTTCCCAAGCGATAACTATGAAGAAGATAGTAAGTGACGACGACGTACCATTTCTTTCTGAGGAAATTATCTTCAACATTTTGAAACGACTTCCTGCAAAATCCCTAATCCGATTTCAATGTGTCTGCAAACATTGGAAAAATCTCATCGAAAGCCCATCTTTCGTGGCCGACCACCTCCACCATTCCACTCATCAAAGCCCTTGTCTTCTCTTTGAGCCGTATGATAGCGATGCTCCTTTGAACTTGTATTTGCTTGATTGCGAGATGCAAGCCCGTCAGGTTCCGAAGCATCCTTTGATTGATTATTTGGAGTTCGGTTGGGTAATTGGTTCGAGCAATGGCTTGCTCTGCGTTGACATCAGTGACGATCGTGCATCTCATCCTGCCCTTTTATTGTGTAATCCAGCTATTAGAGAAGTCAGACCGGTTCCCACAACTTCTGGTGTTATAACCGGTTCTATAGGATTTGGGTTCAGTCCGATTGTTAATGATTACAAGATTGTAAGAATTTATGTTAATGAGATGTTTGGAAATGTGGAAGTATACTCCGTAAAAACAGGGTCATGGAAGGGAGTAGAAGTGGGGATCTTAGATGGTCTAAAGATTACTTCTTGCAGTTTCACTGCTAACGGAGATATCTTTTGGTTTGGGTTTACGCTGGAGGAGGAGGAGGATGAAATTGGTTACATTGTGGGTGGAAATGGTCATCATGTGATAATTTCGTTTGACATAGCAATGGAAGTGTTTACATTGTTGCCAATGCCTAATTTACCCCCTGGGTCACATCAAAATAGACTCACTACATATGAGAACAAACTTGCAATGCTTTCTTATCGTGGGATTGAAAATTCTAAATCTTCTTTGATTGATTTGTGGGTGATGGAGGGATGGAGTTGGACAAAGAAATACACTAGTAACCCGTATCCATGCTTCTTAGACCCCATGACTGTTTGGAGGAATGAAATTGTTTGCAGGATTTCAGCTGGACGTGAAATGGAGAATGACGAACCAAACACTATTTTGCTCAATCTTACTACAAAAGAAGTTACAGAGTTTACTGTTGGCAGAAGTCACGATGCTCATTGTATTTTCAATTATGTAGAAAGCCTTGTACCAGTTGGAGGAATGAAATTATTTGCAATGTATGTGTAGCACCTGGACCTGTTGGTGATATTGAAGGTAATGTGGAAAATGACGAACTATTCAACCTCGCCATTGATGAACTCAGCTTGGTATTTTCAATTAGGTAGTTAACATTTACTAGTTGGCCACATCCACATTGAAGAAACTAGATCTTAAGTATTTAGTATTTACTGTTATATTGCAGATTGCTTAGTTTAAGGCCTTTTATTGAAATGACCCTATGCTCTATTTATTTTGTTTTTATGTTTCCTTCATGAGAAGGAAAACTGAGCACCTGGCTTCCGTAAATAGCTAATATGCAACTCATGGATGGAGACTTTTGATGAATGGAATATTTTTGGTGCCTATGTTGTTCAGTTAGCTTACCCCCTCTTTCTTATCTCACCCTCGCCCTCTCTGTTCTGCAATTCTTCCCCATATTTCTTCATTTCCCCCTCTATTTGCATCATTCTGGCATCAGTTAGATTGTGTTTTGCATCACTGTATTTGGTCCTATCTATTATATCATGTTGTTCAGTTCTCTTTCAAGATGATGCATAATTTAGTTGCTGGGTGTGTGGACTACATGGAATTTTCTATTAGATGAGAAGGAAGTAGAGTAAGTGAGTTGCGGTTTCATTTAATTCATCCTGGTACAGTAAAGCAAATATCATGGATGAAAGAAAATATTGATTTTATAATATCTAAAATAACAAAATTACTAAATAATAAAATAGATTTTCTTTAATAATTATCACTAAAAAAAATAAAAAAAATTTTTTTTAATGAAATTTACTCAATAAATCAGATTTCATATCAACAAATTATTAGAAACTCATATACTTTTCAAGTTAAGCAGATATCTAGTACCTAATTTTTAAAACATTTAGGGACTATTAAGAAGCATTGAACATTAGAAATAATAATTGGAATTGATATTAAGAAAATAGTATTTAGTATACTGGAAGTACCTTATAAATATAATGAGAGTATAAAGTTGCCATAAATAAAATAAAAAATTATGTTAAAGGCAGAATATGTGTTCGTTCATCCAATGAACAGTTGGTTGAGCTGGTAAGTAGGCTCGTCTCCCGTAAGGATGAGAACATGTGTTCAAATCTAGGGAAGCGCTCTTGTTGGGAGAGGGGACAACCACCGCTAGAAAACCGCGGCACTCCTTCCCCTCGAGTCCGGATTAGTCAGTTGCCAATAGGTACCGGATTACCGAGTGGTGTATTACAAAAAAAAAAAAAGAGAAAGAATATACAATAAATGTGAGTTTTCTTCTTATTTTTATTTCATGTATGAAGAAAAAATTTCAAAACAAAATAACGTGACCCGTATTCTATTTTTTCTTTATTTTTTTTCCCCTTCTGCTTTTCTCTCCTTATCTCAATAAAAATTAACAAAAAAACTTAATTTTTTCCTCGTTTTCTTTTTTATATCTTTCTCCTCCCTTGTTTTCTCTCCGTGGAAACCAAAAACCCTCGGTGATTCTTTGACAAAAAGAAACCTTCGTCGATTGCCGAGGCTTTAGGGAGATCTGTTCTTCCCAAGCGATAACTATGAAGAAGGTAGTAAATGATAACGACGTACCATTTCTTTCCGACGAAACTATCCTCAACATTTTCAGACGACTTCCTGCAAAATCCCTAATCCGATTTCAATGTGTCTGCAAACATTGGAAAAATCTCATCAAAAGCCCATCTTTCGTGGCCGACCACCTCCACCATTCCACTCATCAAAGCCCTTGTCTTCTCTTTGAGCCGTATCATAGAGGTGGTCCTTTGAACTTACATTTACTTGATTGCGAGATGCAAGCCCGTCAGGTTCCGAAGCATCCTTTGATTGATTATTTGAAGTTCGGTCGGGTAATTGGTTCGAGCAATGGCTTGCTCTGCGTTGACATCAGTGACGATCGTGCATCTCATCCTGCCCTTTTATTGTGTAATCCAGCTATTAGAGAAGTCAGACCGGTTCCCACAACTTCTGGTGTTATAACCGGTTCTATAGGATTTGGGTTCAGTCCGATTGTTAATGATTACAAGATTGTAAGAATTTATGTTAATGAGATGTTTGAAAAAGTGGAAGTATACTCCGTAAAAACAGGGTCATGGAAGGGAGTAGAATTGGGGATCTTTGATGGTCTAAAGATTACTTCTTGCAGTTTCACTGCTAACGGAGATATCTTTTGGTTTGGGTTTACGCTGGAGGAGGAGGAGGATGAAATTGGTTACATTGTGGGTGGAAATGGTCATCATGTGATAATTTCGTTTGACATAGCAATGGAAGTGTTTACATTGTTGCCAATGCCTAATTTACCTCCTGAGTCACATCAAAATAGACTCACTACATATGAGAACAAACTTGCAATGCTTTCTTATCGTGGGATTGAAAATTCTAAATCTTCTTTGATTGATTTGTGGGTGATTGATTTGTGGGTGATGGAGGGATGGAGTTGGACAAAGAAATACACTAGTAACCCGTATCCATGCTTCTTAGACCCCATGACTGTTTGGAGGAATGAAATTGTTTGCGGGATTTCAACTGGACGTGAAATGGAGAATGACGAACCAAACACTATTTTGCTCAATCTTACTACAAAAGAAGTTACAGAGTTTACTGTTGGCAGAAGTCACGATGCTCATTGTATTTTCAATTATGTAGAAAGTCTTGTACCAGTTGGAGGAATGAAATTATTTGCAATGTATGTGTAGCACCTGGACCTGTTAGTGATGTTGAAGGTAATGTGGAAAATGACGAACTATTCTACCTCTATTCAACCTCGCCACTGATGAACTCATCTTGGCATTTTCAATTATGTAGTTAACATTTACTAGTTGGCCACATCCACATTGAAGAAACTACATCTTAAGTATTTAGTATTTACTGTTATATTGCAGATTGCTTAGTTTAAGGACTTTTATTGAAATGACCCTATGCTCTATTTATTTTGTTTTTATGTTTCCTTCATGAGAAGGAAAACTGAGCACCTGGCTTCCGTAAATAGCTAATATGCAACTCATGGATGGAGACTTTTGATGAATGGAATATTTTTGGTGCCTATGTTGTTCAGTTAGCTTACCCCCTCTTTCTTATCTCACCCTCGCCCTCTCTGTTCTGCAATTCTTCCCCATATTTCTTCATTTCCCCCTCTATTTGCATCATTCTGGCATCAGTTAGATTGTGTTTTGCATCACTGTATTTGGTCCTATCTATTATATCATGTTGTTCAGTTCTCTTTCAAGATGATGCATAATTTAGTTGCTGGTGTGTGGACTACATGGAATTTTCTATTAGATGAGAAGGAAGTAGAGCAAGTGAGTTGCGGTTTCATTTCATTCATCCTGGTACAGTAAAGCAAATATCATGGATGAAAGAAAATATTTATGAAATCACTGAGATATGATAACATAAAATTTTAACGTAACTAAATAATAAATGACGTCAATATATAAAAATATTATAAGATCTAAAATAAAAAAATTACTAAATAATAAAATAGATTTTCTTTATAAATTATAACTAAATAAAAAATAATTTTTTAATGAAATTTACTCAATAAATCAGATTTCATGAAAGAAATTATTAGAAGCTCATATACTTTTCAAGTTAACCAGATATCTAGTACCTAATTTTTAAAACATTTAGGGACCATTACAAAGCATCGAACATGAGAAATAATAATTGGAATTGATATTGAGAAAATAATATTTAGTATGAGAAATTGTTTATTATATAGGATTAGACAAATTTATATGTGTAGAATTGCGGAATACTATGGAAAGAAGTGGTATTCCCCAATCTTACTTTTATATATTTATCTAATCTCATATAACAGATAATTATTTATGCTAAAAAAATTTGTAATGATTTTTTTTAATTATAATCTTAATCTATATTTCTTGTTTTTAATGCACGGAAGAATTGTTGGCAAAAATGTGGGAAAGATTTATTTATGGATAAAAACGAGTTTATGTCCTGACCCTAGGCGTGAATCATGGTCATCACGGTGGCTCTCTCATGAGGGGGCTGCTCTTCTCAGCCGATCACCATGAAGCAGATGTTCGAGGATGGTGACACACCGTTTCTTCCCGAAGAAATCGTCGAAAGCATTCTCACTCGTATCCCTGTCAAGTCCCTAATCAGATTTCAATGCGTCAGCAAACAGTGGAAAAATCTCTTTAAAACTCCATCTTTCATTGCAGACCACTGCCTCCACTCTGTTCATCATAATCCTTCTCTTCTTTTACAATTGAATCACAGAACTCTTCCTTTTCCTTTTCCTTTGAAGTTATGTGTGCTCGATGACAAGAAGCGAGTCCGAGAATTTCAGAACCCATCTTTGATCGATTCGTTGGGGTTGTGGTCGCCAAAATCATCGGCTATAGTAATGGCTTTCTTTGTGTTAAATTCGATGAATTTGGTATGTCTCCTCCTTCCCTTTTGTTGTGGAATCCAGTGATTAGAGAGGTGAGGCAGATCCCTAGAACTATCAATGATTTTAAGGGTGACTGCATTATAGGATTTGGATTCAGTTCAGTTGTTAATGATTACAAGATTGTGAGAGCTTATAAGTCTGATCTCGCTGTTAATAGAGTGGAAATGTATTACGTAAACAAGGGTTCATGGGAGAAAATAAAATTTGAGGACCTGAAGGGTGCAAGCCTTTTTCATGACAATGTCACTGTTAATGGTACTATATTTTGGGAAGGGACAAAAGATGTAAACTTCATAGTTTCATTTGACATAGAAAAAGAAGTTTAGATTGATTCCAATTCCAATTTTAGACCGTTATCCATGTATAGTGCTTGCGTACGATTTATAAGAACAAACTTGCTATGTTTGTTACCATTCTGCTTGGAGCCTTGAAATCTTACCATACTCAATTGTGGGTGATGGAGGAGGGCACAGATCCAACCAAGGAGAGATGGAGTTGGACCATGAAATATAGTAGGCCCTACTGTCCGCACTTAAGGGCAGCGACTATATTTTTGGGGGGGGGGGGGTGAAGCTGTCTATAAATGCAATATTAAAATAATGCCTAAACTTTGAAAGTTTACTGGACTTGGACTCTTTAGTGAAACTGAGCATGAAGTGGAGAATGATGAACAAAAAGTTGTTATACTTCTCTTCAATGTAAATACTTATGAATTTAAGATATTTGCTATCTGCAAATGTGACCATGATCTTCCTATTTTCAATCATGTGGAAAGTCTGACACCAATTGACAACACTCATTGAAGAACCTGGATCCTAAATCTTAATTATTTCATTATAGATTTACTTAGTTGTTGAACTTTAGTTTAGACAGTTCTATACGTGCAAGGCTTAATGACTATGCTGCTAAAGAAGCTGAAGTAGAGATCATTTACAGAATCTATCATGGATTTCAGTAATTGTTTCTTTCATGCAACTTCTATCTTCTTTGTGTGTGAGGCTTTGGCTCTCAACCAGAGGATGCAGAGATTTTGAATCTGATTATCAGCTTATGATTAATTCCGGTTTATGGGGTAGTTTGTCCTGAATTGAATTTCAATGCTGTCTTGAAGAATATGGCATTAGGGAGGGTGGCTTCGCTTGGTCTTATTTTGTTTAGTGTTCAGCCCTTTATCCGTTCTGATTTTGTTTTGTTGGGTTCTTACTCTGTTTTTTTTTACCTTGTTTGTTGGGTTCTTATGGTGTTTGGTGTGATGATACTTTTTGTTCCAAGAAGTGTAATACCTTTGATAGTAACTGTTGAGAGTTGAGACTTACAAATTTACGAATGATGACTCAAAAATGGACGTAGGAATTGAATTTTTCTTTTTTCAAATTTTACGAATCCTTCAAGTAACCATCCAAATACCAAAAGCAAAATGATGAGCAGCTACTCGAGAATAATAGAACTTTTTAATAATAGGAAAAGGGGGCTTATCCATTTCTGAACACCATGTGGATCATTTAAGCACAGATATGGTAAAATGTTTCATTGTTCTGGCCAATGCTTGACCTGTTATTTACAAAAGACAGGGAAATATAGAACTCAATGGAATTCATACATTTTAAAGACCGAATTGGGGGTTCAAATTGTTTGTTTTGTGAACAAGAAGGTTTGCTTGAATTTTCTTTTTTCTTTTTTTTTCCTAGGCAAAAGTGTGTTAAATGCCTCTGAAAAACTGGCAATAATCAAATTCAACCTAATAGTATTGGATATCAATGTCATAGGGCTTAAGTTTCTGAAAAAAAAATCTATGAATTATTGAAAAATATACTTGATGATATGATATGCTTTAAATTTTAAACTTGGCATTGTGCTTGTAATAATAGTTGTTAAACGTTAACATAATGTGATTAATTTATCATAGTGGATTTTTGGTCAGTGCGAATAAACCAATAAAGGGTTAAATGACAAATTTGTTATGAAAATTTTCATTGTATTTAACTTCAAATTGATGTAATGTTTTTTTGAAAGTTTACAAAAGATACTTCAGCATCATCCTATAATAATGCTTGACTAACATTACCGTTAGTTGAACAATTCTAGTTATAGTTATTGGGCAATTTTGCTCTAAAAAATTTTTAGAACGGACAATTAGTATCCTAGTCTCTTGATTGGCAATATTGGGCATAATATTTTTGGGGTATTAATTTTTAAATTTAGAGAAAAATCTAACTCATTATCAACAACAAATATTTGTTTGTATTCTTGAATTGACCAGACTTGCCTTTAAACAAAATTCGGACTTGTCACTTGTTTCCTCGAGAGACGAAAGTAAGTTTGGACATGTCTAGTTACATATTTAAATTGACTATAAAAAAAATTTTACTCATCATTCGATGAAAATTCTTTAAGATGTCTTTTGCAACTCATCCATAAATGTTTCATTAATGACATGTGCCTTTAAGAGTTGAGACCCTCACTATAAGTTTGCAACGGGTGCAAATGTGACTTTTGGCTCGATTCTAGATTGTAACAGGTTGTTGGATCATTCTTCTAATTCGAGTTTTTATAACACAAAAAATATTGTTCATTTAGACAATAAGAATTTATCCAGTGACAGAGGAGTTGGTTTATAAGTTTTTTTTTTTTTAAGAAAAAGCAAAATGAATTATCATTAAGAAATAAGAGGTTTACAAGCTACAATTCAGAATGGGAAAAGCAAAATGCGTAAAAGAAACAAAGAGATTAAGGTCTCTGCTAACTAGACAATCTACTTGATTAAATTGACGTAAAAGAAGATTAGCTTCATGCTCAAACCCCTCCACCGCGACCTTCCGAAGCCGTGTCAAATCAACTAGTTTCTGCTAAAAACAGACAAGCTGAAGCTGAGAGCAGTTATCACCCATTGCTTTGCCCATTTTGGTAATCCAAAGCAAGATAGTCCGAAGGCAGAGAGAGTTGAACCTACCATGATTGACAAATCAACAGTAGATGAAACCTTGGGTGGGGTTTCCCCTAAATAGTACAATTGCAGACTAGGAAGTGCTCTGTCTGCATTTCTTTTTTAACAAAAGTACTATCCAACCTTTGTTAGGCAAGGAGAAATTTTCATATTCCGTGGTAGCAGCACTTCCTTTTTGTTCCATCAATGAATGTGAAGAGGAAAAAGCCATATCCAGGTAAGTCCTCCAACCCTGGATCTCTTTAATGACCTTCATGGGTTGATCAATCCTTTCTTTATGTAAGGCTTGATTACACTTCCACCATATTATATTTAGAACAATGATGATGCCTTTATAGAGGAACTTAAGGTTATCATCAGAAAGCCTTATCGTTATTAATTTAAGCCAGGGAAGAAAAGAATCAAAGGTTGAAGCTTCCATCTTAATTGGCAAGCATCCAAACCACAAGGCTCGAACATAGGGGTAGAAGATGAACAGATGGTCCAAGAATTCCAGATAGTCACAACCAAACACACAATGTGTGGTAACAGGTAGATGATGCATGTTCAAGATATCATGTGTTGGTAGGCCTTTTTTTAGTAATTTCCACATGAAAAGTAAGAATTTTAGCGGGAGTGACAGGGACCAAGGAAACTTCCAAAAATTATCACTCTGACATTGTGGTTGCAATGAACTATGAAGTTGAATTATGAACCCATCTCTTATAGTATAAAGACCAGAGGCATTAGTGGTCCATCGAAAGGAATCATGCTGAGAAGAACTTAGAATTGGAATGGAAAGGATTTCTTTGATATCATTCTCAGAGTAAAGGGACCTAAGAAGAGGGAGGTTCCATCGGTGGGGGTTCCAGTCGAAGCGGCTATGGAGTAAGAGATCTTTGACCTTGAGCAAATTGAATGCTAAGAAGGATCTTAATTGCATAGGCTACCAGAGGTGGTGGTTAAGAGGGAGGGGTACAAGAGGTGGGGGAAATATTCCACCGAAGATTATCAATGATGAGTCCTGAGCTATCAAGCAAACCCTTCCAAATCCAAGAAGCATTATAAGGCTTCACAAGTAGGTCCTTATTATATAAATCCACATATTTAGTTTTCAATGTTAGAGCCAGAATGTTTGAAGTTTCCATAGAGAGTATGCGCCAAACCTGTTTAGCAAGCAGGGATTGATTGATGCATTTAGCTGGTCTTATGGCCAGGCCTCCTTGATCAACCGAGTGAAAAAAGAGATCTTTATTCTTCAAATGAATTTGATTCCTTCCATCCGTTCACCCCATAAAAAAAATTAATACTCCCTCCGTTTCTTATTATAAGAGACACTTGATGCTTATGCCATGTTCCTATATATAAGAGACACTTACAAATTGTCTCTACTTTTTTGTGTTGATTTACTATTTTACCCATATTTATTATCTCCAACTCACACTCTCTTTCTCTCCCACTTCTCTTTCTTTTAATAATTTAATTGTTCTCTCTCTTTATTAATGAGGGCATTTTTGAAAAAAAAATTATACTTTTTATACATTAATTGTTCTTAACTAACTTTAACTGTTTTTTTGATCAACGTACTTCGGTTATTTGTCTCTTATAATAAGGAACGGAGGGAATACAAAGACTATCCACTTTGTCACATATATGATACCGTAATTTGATGCAAGAGAGAATGTCCAGATTAGTAGCGGAGAGGACTGATTTAATGAGTGTTAGGTGAGCAGCTTTAGATACAAGTTTCATTTTCCAACCAGCAAGTCATCTCCGTGCTGCTTCTATAACTTGGTCATAAATTGGCTTCTTTTATGTTCCTGGGTCGATCCAAGTACCCAGATATTTACCCAACCTAGATGAAAAGTGGATGCCTAGAGTCTGAGAGAACCTCTTTTTGCTGCTGTGATTCACTATAGGACTGAAAACCAGAGTGGATATAGCATGGTTAATTTCTTGCCCAAACCAATAGCAATAGGTGTCAAGGGCAAATTTAATTGTAGCAATGTTCTAGTCAGACCTTTCAAAGAAGAAAAGTGAGTCATCTGCATAGAGAAGATGGGAGACGAGCATTGCGTTTTGATATATTTGAATACCTTTCCATTGACCAGCCCCTTCTAAGTGTGTTACTAAACAAGGGAGGACATTGGCAGCAAGAATATACAAGTATGGAGAAAAGCAGGTCACCTTGGCGTGAACCAATCTCTAGGATCTAGCTCCATTAAACTCTTGTTTAAAAAAAAAAAAAGCTATTAAGAACCAAGGAAAGAGGGTGGTGTCAATCACTTAAAGGATAGTAAGTAGCAAAGGAAAGAATCTTTAAAAAGAGAATTGCAATTAAATCTAAAAAAAATAATTATTAAAAAGTTTTAATAATAACTTAAACAACCTGTAATAATAAGTATCAAATTAGAAAATAACAATTTCTAACTTATTTTTGGGACTTATCGGTAGTTATTTCATTGGCCAGCTCGTCCTCCCATATGTGGACCACAAAGTATATTGTTGCCTTGCCCGTGCAATTAATATCAAATTGTACTTGAGCAACTTGCCTTCCCCGAACAAGCACTGTAAGGCCATATTAAGCAATAGAGTGCCCCATACTTGAGAAAGTTGTTCCACGCTAATTTGGCTTGGGAAAATGAAATAAAAATGATTACTAAGTTTTAAAATTCCCAAACAATCACTTAAATAAACAAAATCCCAATTTAGATATGGTGATTAAATTAAAATTTATAAATTTATTAAAATGACTTTATTGTCCTTTATAATTTTTGTCAAAAAAAAAGACTAAGCACCCTCATTGACTAGCCAGTCATTAGAGGTTCAATGATGATAGCAGCTATTGGAGTTTAGGTGGGCTACCATCATCAAAGCTCTAGCAACTGGTCAATACTTGGTTGTCGATACCCCCATGGTTAGCAACGATTTTTCTTTTTGGAGATTTTTACAACTTTAGTAACATGATTGGTAAGTTCTTTAACACTATTAGCAAGTTTAATATAATAGTTAATAACAGATTTTTCAGAAAATTAAAAAGTGGTATTTTCACAACTTCAATAACACTGTAACGCTATTAACAAGTTTGATATAGCAATAGGTTTTCTGAAAATTCAAAAAGTGGCATGTTTATAACTTCAATAACCCAGTTACAAGTCATGTAACGGTATTAACAACTCTTATAATATAATTAACAATTCTAATTACAAGGCATGTAATGATATTAACATAGTAGCTATCTAATAAATGAAAAAAATTTGATGTACAAGGAACTAATATTAAAAACATCAATCTTCATAGGAAAATGTTGTTAATGTTGTCATGAGAATTGTTAATATCATTACGTGACTTGTTAACTATATTACTGAAGTTGTAAAAATATCACTTTTTAAATTTTCTAGACAACTTGTTATTAATTGCCATATTAAACTTGTTAATAACGTTACAGAATTTGTTAATTGTGTTACAGAAGTTGTAAAAATGTTATTTTTGAATTTTCTAAAAAACCTATTATTAACTGTCGTATCAAAATTGTTAATAGTATTATAGAACTTGTTAATTGCATTATTGAAATTGTCCTATTGTCATGTTGAACTTGTTAATAGCATTAAAAAACTTGTTAACCATGTTATTGAAAATATAAAAATTCCATTTTTTGAATGTTTTGAAAAATTTGTTCGCATATGTCATACCAAATTTGTTAATAGTGTTAAAAAAACTTGTTAACAGCTCCGGCAACTTTTTTTTAAAAATGATTTTTACAGTTTTAGTAATGCTATTATCAAGTTTTCAGCTGTCGTTGGCATCAAAGCTCCAACAATAGATCAATTGGTGAGGGTGCTTTTTTTTTTTTTTAAAAAAAAGGCAATATGATCGTTTAATTAAATTTGCAAATTTTAATTTAGTCACTTCTATCTAACCTGAGGTTTTATTTATTTAAGTGATTATTTAAGAATTTTAAAATTCATGAATTATTTTTCTGTCTAGGATGTTAAAATCTCGTGACCTCACAAAGTATTGGGTTAATACAAATTTCGGCCCCTTAAATTTGAGTCCAATTTGGTATTGGTCCCTGAAATTTAAAACGCGTGGTATTGGTTCCTTAAATTATGTCCGTTTAAATTTGTTGGTCCCTAGCTTCTTGATACCATTAAATCTTGTCAACATGGTATTAATATCGTTAAGGTATGAGTTGGACCATATGACTTGGTAATGAACCATTGAGTTGGCATTTAGGTGTCACATTAACTGGACATGGACCCAAAAAAAACAGAGAAGGGGGATCAGATGCAAAACACAGGGGACGACGGTAGAAGAAAAAACAAAAGGGAAAGGGTTTAGATAGAATCTGCACGAGTGGAGAAAGGAAAGGGTTTTCTGGTTCTGATTGCTGAGCTTTGACAAATTCCTAACCCAATCGTCAATTCTCTCACAGTTCCTGTTTTGTCGCGGGAAGTTACAGGTGATACGCTAGGGGATGAAGCTGGGGCCGCCAAAGTAGTAACCGAAAGCTGCGTCTGCACTGGCAATCGCGACACTGGAATGAAGATAGTATCAAATTCTCAAAAATTTTTACGGTTAGCATCAATTATTGACTGCGGTTTCGATCCAAACATGGTGGCGATCAACGGTATGTTATCATTCGGTTAAACCACGTAGAAAATTAGAATGTTCTCTACCTTTCGCAACTGCGTCGTGTTAGGGCACTTGTAGAACACATGGAACACGGCACTAACACCTATCATCAAATTCGTCGGGATGAGGATAGGGTTCACGACTTCTACGAATTGGTAGGTCGTGAGGTTCCTGTAGCTAAACATGGAGACTGGGCAAAACATGTCTCCTTTCTTGATGGCACTGAAGGTTGAGTTGATGAAGTTGCAGGAGCAAGATAGAGGAACGAAGAGGGGTTCGTTTGGGGCTAAAGTTGAAGTAGGAGAAGAAATGTTGCTTGGTCCTACAATCATAGGGCGACTAATGGAGAAGAGGTCACCAATGAAGGCATGGTCGAGGAAATTAGGAGCTGAAGCTCGGTAAAAGGCGTAGGTCCGGTAGCAAGAGCCGGTCTGGTTAGTGGACCATTGGTAACCGATGGTGTTGGGTTGTATCTGGTCTTGAGCCTGTGAAGGATGAAGAAGATGAAGGACGAAGAAGAAGAAGAAGAAAAGAGGAAGATGGTGGGGTATGGAGTTTCGTATTCTCATCATTTTCTGTTTGGATCTTCTTGGTTTTCGGTCCATGTCCACTTAATGTGACACCTAGATGTCAACTCAGCAGTTCATTATCAGGTCATATGGTCTAACTCATCGTTTAATAGTGTTAATGTCATGTCAGTATAATTTAATGGTGTCAAAAAACCAAGAACCAACGGTCTTAAACAGACATAATTTAAGGAACCAATACTACATGTTTTAAATTTTAAAAACCAATACCAAATGTGGTTCAAATTTAAGAGATCAAAATTTCTATTAATCCCAAAGTATTTTATTTTTTGGGGTTTGTATTTGGTGTTTATCAAGTGATAAGCGCTTTTGAATGGTTCAGATTTAATATTTTAAAAAAATTATTTTAAAATAAAAAAAATTATTTTTTAAAAAATAATAATTAAGATTTTATTTTTATTTTTTATTCTATATCTATTAAAATGATTATTTTAAAAAAATAAAAATAAAACTAAAACTAAACTAAATCTCGACCACCCAAAGTGCTCATCACTTTTGATGAGCTCCCAAGCTCTCTCGACCATCCAATCCCAAGCTCATTCCTCTTCTTTTCCGGTTTTTCCAAACCTAGCAAGAGGAAAAAGTCTTCGGGCTTCTCACGCATCGGCCGAAGCTCACAACTTTATTGAAGCTCACAGATCGGTTCTGTTCTTTCCAATCGATCACCATGACGAAGCAGATGTTAGTGGATGTTGGCATACCGTTTCTTCCAGAAGAAATCATTGCAAACATTCTCAAACGAATCCCTGTCAAATCCCTAATCAGATTCCAATGTGTCTGTAAACAGTGGAAAAATCTCTTCCAAACTCCATCTTTCATTGCAGACCACCTCCACCACCATCGTCACGATGATACCCCTTCTCTTCTCTTACAGTCGAATCACAGAGCTGATTCTTTGAAGTTATGTCTTGTCGATGAAAAGAAGCGAGTCTGTGAATTTCAGAACCCACCTTTGATCGATTCGTTGCGAAGTGCTAACGTAATCGGCTCTAGTAATGGCTTGCTTTGTGTTGAATTCGATGAATTTGGTATGTCTCCTCTTTCCCTCTTGTTGTGGAATCCAGCTACTAGAAAGGTGAGAAAGATACCTAGAACTCTCAAGTATTTTAAAGGGAAATGCGTTTTAGGATTTGGGCACTGTCAAATTATTAATGATTATGGATTTGGGCACTGTCAAATTATTAATGATTATAAGATTGTGAGAGTTTATGAATTTGGTCTCGAGGTTAAGAGAGTGGAAGTGTATTCCTTAAACACAGATTCATGGAAGAAAATAAAATTTGAGAACTTGAAGGGTATAAGACTTCTTCATGAAACTATCGCCGTTAATGGTACTATGTTTTGGCATGGGTCAGAAAATTTGATAGTGTCATTTGACATAGCAAAAGAAGAGTTTAGATTGATACCAATGCCTCTGAGATACCCTCAAGCACGTACTGTGCTTACAGTTTATGAGAACAAACTGGCTATGTTTTCTATCAATGCCACGTACGGTGCCCCTCTATTGTGGGTGATGAAGGAGGGCACAGGTGCATGTAAGGAGAGATGGAGTTGGACCAAGAAATATTGGATCCATCTATACTCAGGTTCAGAGACGGTTTGGAGGGATGACATTATCTACAACTTCAATATTGAAATAATGCCTAAACTCCGAAAGCTTATTGGATCCGAACTCATTCATGAAGTGGAGGATGGTAGATTATCGGATGTTTTGTTCACGTCCTATGTAAATCCTAAAGAAGTTGCTACCTGCAAATGTGGCCATGGTCCTCATATTTTCAATCACGTGGAAAGTCTTGCACTAGTTGGACGCCATAAATCTTAATTATTGCATTATAGATTTACTTTGTTTTGGCACTTTTTGGTTTAGATCATTCTGTGTGCAGGGCTTGATGACCCTTTTCAGAAACTCTGTGATGGATTTGTGCAATTCATTCATAGCAAAAGTAACTACATATGCTTTCAAGGATTAGGTCTGCAAACAAGGTGGGTGCGTATGTGACTTCTAACTCGAATTTTAATTTAAAAGAATTTAGCATTTAGTCATAATCCAAAATTTTCTTTTGATTTTAGATTATAATGAGTTGTTGGATCATTCTTCTAATTTGAATATTGATAAGATCAGAATATTGGTTATTCATACAAACGTTTGGGATGAAGTTGCTCTTTAACTCCTAGAACTGTTCAACTAACAGCCACTGTTGGTCCAACATTACCTTTGGCATTCGATCAATTGAAAGTTAATGATACTAGCTAGGTAGGCATGCGTGATGGGAAAAAACTGAGGACTAAATGAAACATCGGAAATCGAGAAAACCTCCAAAATCCTAAACACAAGTTCGAAGACACACATTTCTCTCGGATGATCGAAAGGAGGAATAAGAAAGAGCAATTGGTAAAACCAGAAAAAGACGGAACAAAAATAATTAATTTCACCAACATCCTTTAGCGTACATTTTTTATAAAGCAATTGCTTTAGTTGAGAGGTATACACTTGAGAATAAGAGAACTTTCTGGGAACTTGAAAGGGAGAGAAAGAGGGAGATGATGAGATGGAGGGTGATGTGGAAGAGAAGAAGGGAGAGATGATGAGGCGGTGTGCCATATGGCTGCTACATGAACAATTTGGTCAAAGTTGACTGGGGTAATTGTAAGGGTGATATTGCTATGTTTTTTAAACTTTTAGAGTGATACTGAGACTTCAAAAACCTTCAGATGCTTAACTCTTCGCTGTATACTTCTGGGGTAAATTTACGCTTTATTGCTTCTTCTTTTTTTCCAAGGCAAAAGTGTTTTAAATACTCTGATTTGCTGCATGATGTATTTTGGCATAATTGAATAAATTTCACTAGTACAATCCTTAATATGAGATATAATTGATTTATTTGGAGAAATTAAAGAAACTAATAAATTATCTTAAAAACATTTGTATTTATTGTGTCTTTCTAAGCTGATTCATCACTTTTATAAACTGATATATAATTTAATGATATGTATAAATCTTTTAGAAAGAAAGCATGCACTATATGCTATAATTAAGCAATTTAGTAATTTCTTTATTCTTTTTAAATTAGTCAACTAGATTTTATATTAAAGATCAGAAATACACTAAACGATAAACTTCATAGCTAGTAAGGTCATAAAGCCTCTAAGAATTATATCAACAGTTATGATTGTTTAAGTAGGAGGTCTCAACTCTCGTGAACGTTGGAAATGCGTTTGAAAAAGCTAATTCTAATTAAACCTGACAATAGTTAAATCCAACCTAATAATATATTATCTCTATTTCTTAACATAAGATCCAGTTGAGTAATTTGAGTAGATTAAAAAAATTAGTTACATTAGTTATTTGTAGTAAATATGTGTTGTTTTTTTTAAAAATACCTTTACTAATTAAATGTCACTTGATGAAATATTTAACATGTGCAACTACCACAAGAAATAACTTGAAAAAAATAGATAAATAAGATAGACAAAATAGATTAGGGTTGCAAAATTAAAAGTTAAATAAGTTTTTATATTAATTATGAGGGATAATATTTATAATAAAAAGCCATCGGTAAAACAGCAGAAAAAGGCAGGAAAAAGTTGGTAAGGGCTAAGAAAAGAGGGATGGTGCCAATCACGTACAGTGAGTAGTGAAGCAAAGAATCTTTAAATGGCCAGACCATCCTCACATATCCACGAGGATTCCCATATTGCGGACGACAAAGCACATATGTTGCCCATTCAGTTACTTAAGCAGCTTACTTTGCCCCGAACAAGCACTATAAGGCCATATTAAGCAATATGATATGCAATAATTGCAGAAGTTGTTTTGCTGCGTCATTTGGCTTTCCAGGTCAGTGAAATCCCGTGACCCACAAACGTGCTCTTTTCTTTTACTGTTTTGGCTAAAGGATCCGGGCTTCTCACCCATCGGCCAAGCTCACAACTTTATTTAAAATCATTGGATCACTCTACGATAAGAGATCAGTTCTGTTCTTTCCAATCGAACACCATGAAGAAGATGTTAGTGGATGATGGCATACCGTTTCTTCCCGAAGAAATCATTGCAAACATTCTCAAACGAATCCCTGTCAAGTCCCTAATCAGATTCCAATGTGTCTGTAAACAGTGGAAAAATCTCTTAACAACTCCATCTTTCATTGCAGACCACCTCCACCATCCCTGTCATGATGATACCCCTTCTATTCTCTTACAATCGAATCACAGAGTTGATCCTTTGAAGCTATGTTTTGTCGATGACAAGAAGCGGGTCCGTGAACTTCAGAACCCACCTTTGATCGATTCGCTGCGAGGTGCTAACGTAATCGGCTCTAGTAATAGCTTGCTTTGTGTTGAATTCGATGAATTTGGTATGTCTCCTCTTTCCCCTCTTGTTGTGGAATCCAGCTATTAGGGAGGTGAGAAAGATACCTAGAACTCTCAACGATTTTAAAGGGAAATGCATTTTAGGATTTGGGTACTGTCAAGTTATTAATGATCATAAGATTGTGAGAGTTTGAGTTTGGTCTGGAGGTTAATAGAGTGGAAGTGTATTCCTTAAGCACAGATTCATGGACGGAAATAGAATTTGAGAACTTGAAAGGCACAAGACTTCTTCATGGAACTGTCACGGTTAATGGTACTATGTTTTGGCATGGGTCAGAAAATTTGATAGTGTCATTTGACATAGCGAAAGAAGAGTTTAGATTGATACCAATGCCTTGGATATTCCCTGAAGCACTTACTGTGCTCACAGTTTATGAGAACAAACTTGCTATGTTTTATAACAATGCCACTCTAATGCGGACGAAGAAGAACGGTGCCTCTATATTGTGGGTGATGAAGGAGGGCACAGGTGCATCTGAGGAGAGATGGAGTTGAACTAAGAAATATTGGATCTATCCATACTCAAGTTCAGAGAAGGTTTGGGAGGATGACATTATCTACAGCTTTAATGTTGAAATTATGCCTAGACTCCGATGGCTTCTTGGATTTGAACTCATTAATGAAACTCAACATGAAGTGGAGGATGGTGGATTATTAGAGATTATGTTGATGTCCACTGTAAAATAATGAAATTGCTACCTGCAACTGTGGCCGTGCTCGTCATATTTTCAATGACATGGAAAGTCTTGCACCAGTTCACAGCACCCACGTTGAAAGACCAACGTCCTAAATCTCAGTTATTGCCTTATATATTTACTTTGTTTTAGCACTTTTTAGTTTAGATAATTATGCATGTGCAAGGCTTGATGACAATATTGCTAAAGAAGCTGAGGAACTCTGTCATGGATCTGTGTAATTGCTTCTCTCATGCAACTTCTCTCTTCTTTACCCAAATATTCTCAGCCTAGCGGGAACTGGCTAGGTCACAAGTGGGTGGACTTTATCTTCTGGTAAAAAGATAGAGCTTCGAATTCTACTTGTTGAAAAAGATCTTGGGGAAGGCTCTACTCGTTGCACGGTCCGAGGTTTAGCCTTCAATTTGGATTGGGGGGTGCCTTGATTTCTAACCCGAAAAACCAAAAACAGAAAATTCTGCCTTCTTTGTGTGCGAGGCTTTGGCTCTCAACAAGGTGATGCTGAGATTTTGAGTCTGATGAGGTAGTCTGATTTTGAATTCCATTGGCATATTGCTCGAGAGAAATATTTTTAAAAGCTGAAATATAAAACTGAAGGATGGATGTTATCTATTTACCGTGAGCTTAAATTTTATCACAGATATAATTTTTTTTTAAACCTTTATAATTGTTCAACTAATAGTCAAATAATGTTGTCACAGGACAACGTTATATTATTTTTGAATTGTTCAGAAAAATATTGCGCCAATGAGACCAGATCGGAGCAAATTTGCTTTCTAATCTAGCTGAAAACCATGTTAATATTGCAACGTGTATGGTGCACTCAGAAACTGGTGAATTATTTTGAAGTATTTTTCATGTGGATCCAACACTTTAAAATATTTTATAATGTAATTTTACCCTTAGATTATTAACTTTTCATTCCATAAGCAATTTTTTTGTCATTTAACTCCTCAAAAAAGTTTGTTAAATTCATGTCTATCAAGCACATATTTTTTTCAGTTTTTTTTTCATATACTGAACACATGTGAAAAAATATTTCAGAATATTAGATACACACAAGATATTTTAATGTACTGGACACACATGATAAAATATTTTATGGCGTTACCCTGTTATTTACTATGAAAAGTTCAATTTCTTTCAACTCAATCCTGTTAATTATTTTAAATTAGTGATACGGAACTAGGTCAAAAGGATCAAATCGAAATTACTTTAAAAAAATGGAACTATATATCTCATCATATACATAATACTCCTCCAGTTCTAAATGTAAGACTCTTATACTAGTGTGTATAAGGGTCTTACAATTAGGACCAGAGGAGTATGTATTTTGTATTTTTGTCTAAATTCTTAATTTTTTCCCATAATTGATATGGCCAAAAACCAATATATTATTATTATTATTATTATTATTATTGATAAAAAATACCTTGTCAGGAAAATAAAAATATTAACAACGCACCTCTCTTCTTTCCAACAGGCCCGATCGATAGCGAAGGCTTTGTTCTGAAAGATTTGGGCCGGGTGCTGTGAAGCCGGTGGTAATGGAATGCGACGCCTCATTTCTCCCCGGAGACATCATCAGAAACATTCTTAAACGGCTTCCGGTGAGATCCCTAATCCAATTTCAATGTGTGTGTAAAGATTGGAAAAATCTCTTTCGGACCCCATCTTTCATCGAAGACCATCTCCACCACTCCAATCATCAAAACCCTTCTCTTATTTTACATGGCCACTCTCTTCTTAATCCTTTAGACTTATAAGAGTTAGTTCGACTAATTCAAGTGTATTAAAAAAATTAACTAAATTAATTATTTATAATAAATAAGTATTGTTTTTTTAAAAATATTTTTTGCTAATTATGTGTATTAACTAAAACCTCCAATTGATTAAATTTTTTACATGTGTAATTATTATAATGATTATATTAAAATATATATAATAGATAAAATTAATTGAAATTTTATATTTAAAATTAAATCAAATATCAAACTAGTTTTTTATATCAATGATTTGAGGTAGTATCAAAATTTTTTGTAGCAAAAAAAAGCAAAAATCAATTTTTTTTTTTTTCAAAAAAAAACATCAAGCTCCGAGTACTCAAAACGCCGTGCTCGTTTTGAGTGCTAAGTACTCCGCGCTCCTCAGGCATGCGAACGCCAAACTATTCTATTCCTTTCCGGTTTTACAAGAGGAAAAAGTTTTCGAGCTTCTCGCCCATCGGTCGAAGCACACAACTTTATTGAAAATTATTAAATCACTCTCCGATAAGAGATCGGTTCTGTGCTTTCCGATCGATCACCATGAAGAAGCAGATGTTAGTGGATGCGGGCATACCGTTTCTTCCAGAAGAAATCGTCGCAAACATTCTCAAACGAATCCCTGTCAAATCGCTAGTCAGATGCCAATGTGTGTGTAAACACTGGGAAAATCTCTTAAAATCTCCATCTTTCCTTGCAGACCGCCTCTACCATCGCCATCATGATGATAACCCTTCTCTTCTCATACAATTGAATCACAGAGCTGATTCTTTGAAGTTATGTCTTGTCGATGAAAAGAAGCGAGTCCGTGAATTTCAGAACCCACCTTTCATCGATTCGTTGCGAGGTGCTAACGTAATCGGCTCTAGTAATGGCTTGCTTTGTGTTGAATTCGATGAATTTGGTATGTCCCCTCTTTCCCTCTTGTTGTGGAATCCAGCTACTGGATATGTGAGAAAGATACCTAGAACTATCAACGATTTCAAGGGTAACTGCATTTTAGGATTTGGTCACTGTCAAATTATTAATCGTTATAAGATTGTGAGAGTTTATGAATTTGGTCACGAGGTTAATAGAGTGGAAGTGTATTCCTTAGGCACAGATTCATGGAAGGAAGTAGAATTTGAGAACTTGAGGGGTATAAGACTGTTTCATGAAACTATCACTGTTAATGGTACTATGTTTTGGCATGGGTCAGAAAATTTGATAGTGTCATTTGACATAGCAAAAGAAGAGTTTAGATTGATACCAATGCCTGTGATATACCCTCAAGCACTTACTGTGCTTACCGTTTATGAGAACAAACTTGCTATGTTTTCTACCAATGCCACTCTATTGCGGATGAAGAAGGACCCTATATTGTGGGTGATGAAGGAGGGCACAGGTGCATCTCAGGAGAGACGGAGTTGGACCAAGAAATATTGGTTCCATTCATACCCAGGTTCAGAAAAGGTTTGGGGGGATGGCATTATCTACTACTTTAATATTGAAATTGTCCCTAGACTCCGAAGGTTTGTTGGATTTGAACTCAATGAAACTCAACATGAAGTGGAGGATGGTGGATTATTAGAGATTATGTTGATGTCCACTGTGAAAAATAACGGAATTGCTACCTGCAAATGTGGCCGTGGTCGTCATATTTTCAATCATGTGGAAAGTCTTGCACCAGTTGACAGCACCCACGTTGAAAAACCAACGTCCTAAATCGTAGTTATTGCATTGTATATTTACTTTGTTTTAGCACTTTTTAGTTTAGACCATTCTGTATGTGCAAGGCCTGAAGACAATATTGCTAAAGAAGCAGGAGTAGGGGGTCATTCTCAGGAACTCTGTCATGGATTTGTGTAATTGCTTCTCTCATGCAATTTCTCTGTTCTTTACCCAAGTATTCTCGAACTAGTTGTGACTGGCCAGGCCATAAGTGGGTGGACTTTACTTTTTTCTGGTAAAAAAAATAGAGGTTCCAATCCTACTTGTTCAACAATACCTTGGGGAGGGCTCTACTGGTTGCACGGGACAAGGGTTAGCCTTCAACTTTGGTTGGGGGATGCCTTGATTTGTAACCCAAAAAACAAAAAACAAAAAAATTCTGCCTTCTTTGTGTGCGAGGCTTTGGCTCTCAACAAGGGGATGCTGAGATTTTGAGGCTGATGATCAGCTTATGCTTAACTCTGGTTTATGAGGTAGTCTGATTTTGAATTCCATTGGCATATTGCTTGAGAGAAATATTTTTAAGAGCTGAAATATAAAACTGAAGGATGGTTGTTATTTCCGTGAGCTGAAATTTTACCACAGATATAATTGTTTTTTTTTTTTAACATTTATAATTGTTCAACTAATAGTCAAATAATGTTGTTACAGGACGACGTTATATTATTTTTGAATTGTTCAAAAACATATTGCGCCAATGATACTAGATCGGAGCAAATTTGCTTTCTAATCTAACTGAAAACAATGTTAATATTGCAACCTGTATGGTGCACTGAGAACCTGGTGAATTACATTAAAAAAAAAAAAAGGAAAATTGTACCTTTAACAATTTTGTTAGTGAGAATGAGATGCGGGTACAACATTTATAGAGTACCAGTAGTTTCTATGTATAAAGATATATCAAGTCCTTATTGATAAAATTATCAATTATCAATGAACACTTTTTACCAATTTTCTTAAAAATAGTATTAATACCGTATAAGATCTAAAAATGATCTTAGAAGAAAGAAACTATAAGTGATTATTATTTGAGGTTAAGATACGTTTATTACTTTGAAGTATTTTATTAGGTGCGCTTAGTATTCTAAAATAGTTTTTTGGTATGTCCGGTAATTTGAAGTATTTTTTATATGGATTCAACAATTTAAAATATTTTATAATGTAATTTCACCCTTAAATTATTAACTTTTCATTTCATAAGCAATTTTTTTGTCATTTAACTCCTCAAAAAAGTTTGTTAAATTCATGTCTATCAAGCACATTTTTTTTCAGTATTTTTTTCATATACTGAACACGTTTGAAAAAATATTTCAGAATATTGGATATA